AAGGGGCCTCACTGGTGGGGGACTTTGGAGTCCCATTTGTGGAGAGGATTCTCTCCCCAGACCCTTCCCAGTTACAACCCTGAAAGCCATTAACATGACTCCCCCTGCACTGGGATTTCACACATTGACGCTCTTCCCATCTGGTGGTGGAACTTTCTTTCTGTACTTTCTCTTCCTTCTGTGTAATCGTGTTTGTGTGTGTGTGTGTGTGTGTGTGTGTGTGTGTGTGTGTTAACAGTTTATCACTTTTGTTTCATTATTTTTACCTTGGTGTCAGGGGCTTTTGTTGTTTGTGAACCCAAACCTGTAAATTAAGTAGCCACAACAAACTGCTGTCTCTTTAAGGCAACAGGCCATAATGTGAACAGTACTGTTACTCAGCTCACAAAGACATGGAGGTTTTTTTTTTTTTTTTTTTTGTACTGGGAATTGAACTTAGCACCTTGTGCTTACCAGGCAAGTGCTGTGCTGCTGAGCTGTATCCCTGGCCCTACATGGAGGCGTTGAGAACAGTCATTGCCCCAGGTCTTGCAGTAAGTGCTACAGCTGGGATTCCAGCTCAGTTTCCATGGCTGGGGGTGTAGCTCGGTCATGTGCAAGGCCCCCAGTTCCAACCCCAGCAGTACCTGAAAACCTTCAGTCTCCTGGCTGTAGAACCATGACCCTTGGTCATCCCAATCATTTTTTCCTTTTCCTTTCCTCTCCTTTCCTCTCCTCTCTCCTCTCCGTTCCTCTCCTCTCCTCCCCTCCTCTCCTTTTCCTTCCCCTCCCTTTCCCTTTCCTGTCCTGTCCTTTTTTCTCCCTTTCTGTCTTTCTCTCCCCCTTTTTTCCTATTTCTTTCTTTCTTGCTCCTCCTCTTCTTCGCCTTCCTCCTCCTTCTCCCTCTCCTTCTACTCATCCTTCTCTTCTTCCTCCTCTTTCTTTTTCATAGTGCTGGGGATTAAACCCAGAGAGCACCAGGCTACACCCTCAGGCCTTTTATTTTTTTGAGACACGGCCTCATTAAGCTGTCCCGGCTGGCCTCCAACTTGCCATCCTCCTGCCTCAGCATCCTGAGTAGCTGGCATTATGGGCATGCATTACCACACCCAGCAGAGAAAGTCACTTCTCTGTCCTTGAGTTTCAGCCTAGAGAAGCCACCAACACACGCTGGTGGGTAAGAAAGAGACAAGCAGCCCTGAGCCCCAGAAGCCTGCCTGGCACTCAGCTGGCTTCGGTGTCCCCTGTGGAACATAAACTTCACAGAAGAGCAACCATGCACGTAGAGAAACGGCACATCCAAGACCACTCTGTTATCGTGTCCAGCCACAGACAAAACATGAACCGGGGATATAGCTTAGCAGCACACGTGCCCACCTGCAAGTGCAAGGGCCTGAGTTTGATTCCTGGTACCAAAACAAACAAACAAACAAAAACATGAACATTGTCTGAACTGTGAAAAAGGACCAACCCTACCCCATCCTTGCTAATGTGAGACTGTGGCCTCTTACCTATGGCCACTTTAGCCTCGGCCTTAGTGCTCCCTGCTTCCTGAGAGCATCCAACCCAAAGGAAAGCCCTGCTTCTTTAAACTCTCCCCCAGACTGACCTCACAAAGGCCTGCAGTGTAAGGAGTCCTTTCCAATACCCTCTTCCTGAGACCTGGCCTCCCCCAGCACAGAGCTCTCCCCCGCCGCATGGGGCCTTGTGCAGTGACAGGTGTGTGCCCCTGGCTACCTTTGGCTAGAAAGGCCCTGACACAAGTACCATCCACTGGTGGATCATTGAGCACAAAATACCACTGTCAAAAGTTACACAGTGTTGCCTCCTCCAAAACTAGTTGATGATGAGAAAAAGAAAAATGGCAGCTCCCTTTACCGGTCAGGGGTGATTGGTTTTAAAGAGAGAAGGCAACTTTTTAGGGTACTGGAAATGGCTGGCTTTTTTTTTTTTAAACAGGGTCTTGCTATGTAGCCTAGGCTGGCCTCGAACTCGTGGCGATCCTCCTGCCTCAGCCTCCTGAGTGCTGAGATTATAGGTGTACACCAGCATGCCTGGCATGGTCTACATTTTGAACTAGGTGTTAGTTACAACAAATGCTAAAAAAAAATTGTTGAGCTGTACATTTAAGGTGAGTGTGCTTTCATATTTTATTAGAAACCTATTATACCTGATTTTAAAAGTGTTACCCACCAACTTGAGCAGGTAGTGAGACAACAGACAAGGGCCCGACACTCCCCAAGAGGAACTTCTTATTTTTTCTGTCAAGGCTGCCTCAAATGCCATCTGGCCAGTCAGGCTACCTCAGGTGTCCCACAGCCAGTCGGGGAGATGTGTGCTTGGCTACCACAAGCTTCCTTCTCAGACTGAACCCGGATGACTCTGCCCTGCAGCCCCTGTGGATGGTGCAACCCTCTGCAGCCCTCCTTAGTCAGGTCACTGAGGAGCCCCTTCCCCACCATGATCAAACGGAAAGTCTGCCACCATGTGCAAACCCTCCTCTTCCCTATCCAAGCAGCCTCCCTTTACTCTTAGTGGGTCAGTCCATGTACTGTTCCGCCTATGCTGTAGCATAGGTCCTAATAAAACCTCTTTTGGACGGTATACCTTTGCCTATTCATGATTTCTATCTTGAGCAGAGCACACTGAACGCGGCCAGCTGCCGTCTTCAGGGGCCAGAAGAGATGGCAAGTCCTGCTGGTAGCTGCTGACTCTGAGCGCTGAGGAGGGCCATGAACTCTAAGAGCTGGTAGCTGCTGATATTCAAAGTTCAGGACTATTGACCTTACAAGAGCTACACTCTGCCAACTCACAACCTCAACATAAATTGAGCAAAGGAACCCTCATCCAATTGGTAACTTACTGGTGGTCCACGCCAGCACCCTCTCCTTTAGAGGGCTCTGCAGAAGAGGGTGGACGACAGTGACAGTCATCAGCAGTGGAGAAGTAGCTGAAAAACTAGCTCGTAATTGATTTCTGTACTACATGCGGCTAAAGACTCACACCAACTGATGACAGCAGAAAGAAAAACAGGAAATCCAAAGCTGGTCACCCAAATACTGACTTAAAATAGCTTAACTACAAGGCAGCACCAGGGTTGGGATGGTAGCTGATTTGAAGGAAACCTTAGGCCATTGGAAGCCAAGATCTGTGTTGGAAAGACTGGAAAATTAACTTGTGGAAAATTTAAAAGCATTTGGTTGTTCATCCTCAAAAAGACCAGATACATTTAATCAGTTTATTTTGCAACACCAGAGTCTGGGTGGACTCAAGGAAGACCTTCCTAACAGTGACTTATGAGTAGAGCAGCCCATGACATCCTGGTCTCTGGGAAATTTGAAACTCACCTGGTCAGCAAAGGCCCCAGCATGCCCTGGGCTGTGAGTAGGAGACTGGAATAAATGACCGCCGACCTCCAGCTGTCCCTTTCATGACCAAGGACTCTGGTGTATCATGAAGGTTCTGAGTCAACTGCATAGCTCCAGTTAATTATCCAAAGGGAGCGCTCTCTGTCCACACTAAGCTTTTTATGTTCTCTGGCCATCACCACCAACCAAGCTTTAATTAAATCCAAGGCTTAATTCCCACAGAGCAGTGCTGTCATCACTCTCCTGATGGCTTGTCTTCCAGGAGGATGGTCGTGGCAACAGTGTCTCAGGAAGACAGATGTGCCTAAAGACACCCAAAGCCGGGAATCTAGACGCTGGAGGCCTGGGGGCCCACAGGGAGGTCATGTGCTGGACTGTTGTCCTAAAAGAGCTCATAATGTGTGTGAGAGTTCAGAGCTCCAACCTGGTGGATGGCACAGCGCAGGAAGGGGTCCTGTGGGACTGAGGGGCTCAGGGAAGCTTTGTGGAGAAGGAGAATTTAAGAGAAATTTTAAAGACAGAGCACGATTGGCCAGATCACCAGGTAGGACAGAACATTTCCTGGCACCGGAGTCCCGGGTGGAGGAGACAGCATGCGCTCAAGGTACTGAGACGTAACAGAGACTTAGAGGCTGGGCCTGCAGCTGCCCAGTGGATAACTAAAAGCAGGATGAAGCTTAGCATGTCTGCCTTCGTTTTGTATCTCTCTCTTTTATTACCTGAAAATTTGGGGTCGGATCATAGCTCAGCTCCACACGTAGGCACACTGATCACCTAACAATCATCTGTCTAAAAAACTAGTACTACAAGGTCTATTATCTCTAAATATAACCTACAGCATCCTGCCTCAGAGACAGAGGACACTGAGATCAGAGCACCTCAGGTAATTTTCAGGATCTGCAGTGATACCCAATTGCAAGCTTCTCCGCCCCTTGGGGGATGCCCAGCAGTCTCCAGTTATTGTCTTGGAGTCACCTCAATTCCAGGAAAATTAGAGCCTCGCAGACCGTCTCATGTTGTCGCCACCTCCTCCAAGCAGAAGCAATTACCCCATGATAGGAACCAAGGCGGCTCTTACCACAGACAGCTAAGTTAGGTAGAAATATTACAGGCAGTCAGACCGGAAAGCTCCAAATTTCTTATGGACGTTTACGGGACTTTGGAGGATGGGATCCGAGGTCATTCTCTCCCCACCCTTACCCAGCACACTCGGGGCTCCGCAAACACTAACCTTACCATCTTACACTCCCTGTAGTCATGGCTAAGTCTTTTCCTTCAGGTCTCAGTTATAGCATCACTTTCTCTAGGGAGCGTGAGCACACAGCTTCCCCTCCCCCAGCCCCGGGCAGGTGTCCCTTTTCAAGGCTCGCACGCTAGCTGTTTGTCCCCCTAGAGCACACACCACTGGGTTGTAATTATTCCTTTGTGTGAATTCTCGGCTAGTCTCGGCAATCTGTTGAGGCTAGAGACACGATCTCTTCCACCAGAGTTCCCCTAAGAACCAGCATAAGGCAGTATAGTGGGGGATGATTGAAGGGACATTTGCGGACCTGCTGATATCTCAGGTTCCTCTCTAATCGTAACTAGTGAGACTGTCGAGGACAATGAAAAATCCCAGCTGTCAACAGCTGCAGGTTGGTAAGGTACATACCCTTGACACCAATGGTTAGTCTTTTATTTTCACAGGAAGTAAAGGGGAACACAAAACAATGCAAGACCTCCTCCTCTTTTTCCTGAGAATAAAGAAGAGCCAGCGTTATTTCCGGGCACGCCCGGGAGCTATTTGAGGCACGATGAAGCGGAGGGTTACTCACCGGGACTTTAAGCAGTAATCCTCTGTTCGAAATCGATCTTCGAGGCGGCCGCTTCTCAGACTACCACCAGGGGGAGGAATCGCACCGTATCCCAGGGCGGTTCTCGTGCCAAGAACTCTGGGAATTGTAGTCCTGGGGTTGCAAGGCGCTGTCCCTTCGCGGTGCACCTCGGGAGTTGTAGTTCTTGGAGGAGCAGTGGAACATGCTTTTAAACATCCGTGTTGAGTCCTGGAAACTACAACTACCAAAGGGTCACGGACTCCTGGGTGGTTTCGCGTTTCCGTCGAGTGAAACCTCTGAGGTTGCTTCTGAGGGATCACCTTGACTGGGTAAGTTTGGTTGGAGAAAGCTCTGTTCTCAACTGAACTGTTTGCAGACTTTTTCATATTCCAGTCTGATTTATGGCCTCCTCGTCTCTCAATCCCAGAAACTGCACATTAACCTTTAATCTTCGTCCTTTCTGTGTCCCATTCAGACACCTCCAATATCCACCCACACCCTAAACCCGTCCTTCACCTCTCGGTTCATGCTGGCAGTCCGGGACTCCCCCGGAGACCTCAGCCCCAGCCTGACCCTGCAGCCTGAGCGACCCCAGATCAAGGCTCCTGTTTTCCTTAACTTGTGTGATTAGCTCTTTGACTCACTGTCCTTTTTTTTTTTTTTTTTTTTTTTTTTTTTTTTTTGGTCCAGG